TAATATTATATTTATATTGATGTAAATGACATTGGTTTTATTGGGACCCATGTTCTCTATCCTTGAACCGAAGTTTTGGTAGATCGGGTAGGCCTATCGCTGCTACGACGATGGTGCAAAACAACAACAACAAAATGTCGCTCAGATTCGATCGGTTTTTCGCGTGATATATCATGTATAATACACTAAATAAGAACTCACCTTTGAGAAAAACTTACATGGAACACATCAGCAATCCGGCAATACCCAAGATTGCAAGCTAATAGCGAAATCGGTTGATTTCTAGTACAAAGCAGCGGAGGGCCGACACCGACGGATGAAGACAGCAGAGAGGCTGCGCGGAGAAGCATACCGCTAGGCGGCGATTTTTCATCGCCCCAGTTTTCTGCTAATTTTCCTTCGCCGATTTCCAATTCTGAGGCAGGGAAAAAATCAATATGACTGTAAAGTGTAATGTGTGTGTTAGTTGCGAATGTGTGTATTTGTAACACGAGTGAGCTGATCTCGGTTGACGATTAGAATTATTGCATTCTTCGTTATACAATTCCGCCTACAAAATCGCTCATCAGCTGGCGATGTTGAGAAAGCGGGAAATTCAATGGGAGTGTGCGAGCTAACGCGTATAGACTGGCACCTTCTCGTGGCGTGTCGTTGCGTTAGGAGCTGCTGGTATGTAGGATAAATCTGAAACAGGGTGCAGGAGGTCAAACTATTTCTGATATATCAACTGGGTGCATCATATTATATAATATAGAAATAATAGTGTAGGTAGACTAGGTGGGGTGTTCCTATGTATTTCTATGGCTAGCCATGCGGGCTAGCTAAGTAAGTATGAGATGGTAGAGCGGATACGATATTGAATAATATGATATCTATGGTCAGAACTGTGTATCATGGCGCTATATTATAACTTTATAAGTATATTTCCGAGAAATGAGAGAATAGAGAATTCATTCAAATTTGAAATAAGAAACACGCCGTTATCGTTCATACATGTATGTAAATTTAATTTTACCTTAGTAACATACAGTAGTACTAGTAGTAGTAGTACTAATGCAGTGTATACAGTACATATTGCAATGCAAAAAAACGAGTTGTGCCTTCCGAATTATGATTGGTTGATACCAACAAAAGCGGCAGCACTGTTCCCCAGCAGTTTGGTGCGTGACAACTTCTGCCATAATGGCAGCTCTGGCATTGAGAGTATTGTCAATAACTTTAGGTCTTTATTTTTGCTTTGTAGGTTCATTAAAGGTGACACCAAAGATTAACGAAGACGCAAACAAGCAGTTTGTAAGTAGGGAAAAGTTTTTAGCGTGGTTTTTTGTTGGAATGTGTGTACAATGGCAGTGGCAGCACTGCCACTGACTCGATGCTTGCGATTGAAATGAACAAAGTCAATCAATGTGCAAGACTTTTTGAGTATTTTTCATCTACGTCTTGAGATGCTGCTATTGGTAAACCCGAAACACTGAAGTGTTTGTCGTTAGCCTGCATATCGGATATCCCCCTTAAACTAGGCAAGTTATTGGCCTCACATTGTCACATTCTCAAAGATGAATAGGAACCGGCCGCGGCAGGAGAGAAAAAAAACAATAAACGGACTGAGAAAATGAACCCGGGCATAATACTATATTAATAGTATTAGGCCATGAGAATTGAGGTATGACTATGAGTTTACCGTTCACCGCCCGCATGCCGTCAGAGCCCAATAAAATGAATCTGAATCTGAATCTGAATCTGCCACTGCCGAAAATATTCATTATTTCAAAAGTATTTCATTATTTTCATTTTTAAATCATTAAAACCCAAGTTGTCCATTCAGAGCGATTAAAACATACATTACCAATACAAAAACGCTATAGGTCCTATTTACATCCTTCATTGGGGTCCTGATCGATCCCCCTCTGGCTCTTTGAGACCTTCGGTTTGGTTTTGGTTTAGGGCGCAAAAGCATGCTGACGTATCCTGAGTACATCGACACACATCCATTACACACATGTATGCGGATGTCGCATGAACAATGGGTTAACTGCAAATATTAAATGAATATTATAATGAAAAATGAAAAATGAAAAAAAGCCTCCACTTTTCAAAATATCTCGGACGGTAGACTCATACCTCAATTCTCATGCCCTTAGTAATACCAGGAGTCTATCAATAGGGATATATAATATGGTGCAAATCCACTTTAGGCACCTTAGGTATCACGAAGTGATGCACAGATTTCTGTGTATCATCAACTGATGCACAGAATTTCCGTATATCAAGGAATGATGCAAAAACCCTAACCCTAACCCTAACCCTAACACACAATTCGTGATACCTAAGGAGTAAGGTTATACTTTATGACTTAGGGTTAGGGTTAGGGTTTTTGCATCATTCCTTGATATACGGAAAGTCTGTGCATCAGTTGATGATACACAAAAATCTGTGCATCACTTTGTGATACCTAAGGTGCCTAAAGTGGATTTGCGCCATATAATATTATATTATTTAGAGCTATTGATAGACTCTTGGTAATACTAATACTAATAGGCCACACTATCCAAGGGATATTGAGTATTTATGTCTAAATCAATTTTGTATGCTACCTCGTCTATATTTTGACAGAGACACTTCCTAGTGTCAGTCAGTCCATGGGTCTTCTTAGGGATTTAATTTTAAAATATTTGTAAGGTTATCTAGACTATAGTATACTACCATAATATTAAATACAGTTGTGGAAGTTAATTGCTTAGAGGACTCTTTTAAACTTCTGATCCCTGAAAGGAAGTGTTAACTATGTACTATCTGTATACATGCCAACTTTAATGAGAGTTATCTCCTTTCCCGTCTGGACCGGAAGCGGATGGCCAGCTTGCGCATGTGCGTGAGGGGGCTGGTTGTTGGGGTGCTGTGATGTGCTGTTTGAAGTAAACAAAGTCTGTACTGTTTGAGTGAGTTTGTAGTATTATCGATCCAACATTGGTAGCAGAGGCTAGTTTGTACGTACTACTGTGTGATTTATTATAGCTACGGGCTATAAAAATCCACCCGCTTTTGGGACAGGCGACGACTATGAAACGTGGAAGAATGAAATCGAGGTTTGGCGCCTCGTCACGGACTTGGAGAAAAAGCGCCAGGTGCTTGCTGTGCCATTATGTTTACAAGGCCAAGCACAGACCAATTGGCTTTGGAAATTAAGGTTGCAGATCTAAACAAGGATGAGGGATTGGACACTCTAATTGGGCAATTAGATAAGTTGTTTTGCTGTGACAAAGTCGATCTTTTGTACGCCGCTTACACAGACTTTGAAAACTACAAAATGAGCCCTGGAACAAACATGGCGGACTACATTGTGGATTTCAAACGAAGATACAACCTGTGTAAGAAGTACGAAATGGTATTAATTACCAGATGCGGTTTTGACGTTCAAACTATTAGACAGTACAAATTTAACACCGAAAGATAGACAATTAGCACTTACTGCTGCACCGGATCTGAAATTTGAGACTATGAAGTCCGCACTGAAAAGAATTTTTGGCACGATCCCTATTCATGACAGTGCAACTGGGGGATTTGGTGACACGCCTATATCGATCAAGCAGGAATCGGTGTTGTACACTCGTCAGTTTAAGAAGAAGCCACCTTACTATCCTCTCAAATCTGGAGGAAATCCTGCGACAAACGAGACACGCGCGACACACCAAAAACTGGCACAAACCCTTTTGATCGATTTGGGCGACGTTCACAGTGTGCTATTTGTCGGTCTGTATTCACGGCCTGAAAGATTGTGAACATCGTTCAGACGCTGAGAAAGTGAAAGTAACAGAAGACAGCACAGCCACAGTGAGAGCTGTAATTTCACACTACATGTCCGAGAGGAAAATGCTATGCAACAAGTATTCATGGCTGAGTCGTATGGTGCTGCAATTATAGACACTGCATGCACTCGCACTGATGCTAACACTGAAGCTGAACTTAGGAAAGTACTAATCAAACTCCACAAGCAATTTGGACATGCGTTGGCTGCTAAACTTTAGAAACTGATCGAAAGCGCTGGTACCAAGAATCCAATGAAACAGTTGCAGTTGACCTGCACGAGTTGGACACGTCGACATGGTATCTTCACATAATGGATGAATTTACCCGACTCGGTGCTGGAGGTATTGTCAGAACCAAAAAGAGCTCAGTATTTGTGAAGAAATTCATTCATCATTGGATCAGTATCTTCGGCACTCCACAGAAATTGTACATTGACAATGGGGTTGAATTTAACAATAGGGAGGTACACGACATGTGCGAGAATTTCAACATTGAAGTGAAGACGACTGCGGCATACAGCCCATAGAGCAATGGTGCTCTGGAGAGACACAATCAGACACTCACTTTGATTCTCTTGAAAGTAAAATCCGAGAGAAACTGTGATTGGGAGACTGCCCTGAGCCCTCTGTTGGGCACTCATGGCCAAGAACAGTCTGTGTAACGTTCATGGTTACAGTGCCTATCAGCTGGTGTTTGGTCTCAACCCCAATTTGCCATCCGTCCTAACAGATAAACCATCTGCACTAGAAGGACAAACTACCAGTCGAGTGGTTGGAGAACATATTGCGTCAGTGTTTGAGGCCAGGAGAGCATTCACGGAGGCAGAAAGTTCTGAGCACATTAGACGGGCGTTACGAAAGCAAATCCGGCCCATATGTGCAGTCTATTACCCTAGTGATAGAGTCTACTACAAGCGTCCTGACAGTCTGGAGTGGAAAGGTCCCGCTGTTGTCATTGGACGAGATGGTGTGCTAGTTGTCGTGCGACATGGCGGTTCACGTTCATCAGTGTAGACTCAGAAAGGTGGTAAATCCAGAGATTGATCGCAAGGAGCCAACAGGGGAGATCACCTTGACAAATACAGAACACAAGACTGTACACACTGAAACTCTGGTCGCTGATAATGCGTCGGATGATGATCATGAAGCACCGGGTACAAGACAGGAACCCGCATGTACACCAATGGTGAAAGCAGGACAGGTAATTACATATACAGATGGAGATACTGGGGCAACAGTTACTGCAACAGCTACTGCAACAGTTACTGCAACAGTTCTCAGTCTAGCCGGAAAAGCGAATGGAAAATATAAATATTGGTACAATTTGGAATATGTCGATAATGACAACTCCGAGAGTGAAATACAGCCTGTTGATATAAGTCAACTATCAGATGTGAATGTTGTTGGGCCCTACATACATGTACCACAACCTCAGCAAGTGGATGACAGTGTACTAGTGGTGAGCGATGTCTCTTTTAGCAACCCAAATTTAGCAGAAATTGAAAACTGGAGAAAATATGAGGTCTTTGAGGAAGTAGAGGATGTTGGACAAAGGTGTCTATCAACACGTTGGGTGTGTACCTTGAAAGACACTCCTGGGGGCATCATACCAAAAGCGAGACTGGTTGCCCGGAGGTTTGAGGAGATTGCAACTGACATTCAGAAGGACTCGCCAACGTGTGCGGCGGAATCGTTGAAAATGATTCTAGGCATCATCGCAAACAACAATTGGAAACCACAGTCAATGGACATTAAAACTGCATATCTACAAGGACATTAATTGAAAAGAGATATTTATCTCAAACTGCCAAAAGAGGGAAACTGCAATGGAAAAGTCTGGCATCTTCACAAGTGTGTGTATGGACTGAACGATGCATCTTTGTATTGGTACAACAGAGTGCGCACTGTCATGATTGAACTTGGTGCAAAAGTTTCCAAAGTGGATCCGGCCGTGTTCTACTGGTTGGACGAGGCTGGTAGATTGATGGGAGTACTGGCTTGTCATGTGGACGACTTCATTTGGGGAGGACCTCCTGAGTTTCAAACAACAATCATTTAAAGTATCAGGACAACGTTCAATGTTGGTAGAGAAGATGCTGGAACATTCAAATATATCGGCATGAATCTTTCGTACAAGAACGGGGACATTTATCTCGACCAGAACGAATACGCTGGGAGTCGTGCACCTATTCAGATTGACAAGGCCAGATCATTGCAGAAAGATGCAGATGTAACGGACAGCGAGCGTCAGATATTGAGGTATAAAGTCTGTCAGATTCTGTGGATAGCACACCAGAGTAGACCAGATATCATATTTGATGCTAGTAACTTGGCAGCGACTATCAAACATGCTAAAGTGAGTGATCTGTTGGATGCTAATAAGCTGATTAAGACGGTCAACTCTGAGAAATTAGCACTCAAGTTACAACGTCTTGAAGGACAGTTATCAATGTTTGTCTACAGTGATGCTTCACTCGGAAATCAGACTGATGGTAGCACACAGGGTGGGTATCTGGTTTGTCTAGTTGATGAACATCAACTAGATGTTCATCAACATCCCATGGAAAACTCACATGGAAAACATCACATGGAAAACTGGTGCCAATATGTTGGAGTTCTAAGAAAATTCGTAGGGTTGTCCGCAGTACCCTAGCCGCAGAGACACTTTCTTTGGCTGATGGTATAGACACGGGTGTGTTTTTGTCGGCACTGTTCGCAGAGCTTACCACTGGAGTGCCTGATTCCATGACAATACCACTGGTCTGTGTAACTGATTGCAAGTCATGTGAGGCGATGAATTCTACAAAATTTGTTACAGAGAAACGTTTGAGGATAGAAATAAGTGGAATTAAAGACGTGATCGAAAGTGGACAGGTTCGAGAAATTAGGTGGTCTAACACTGACACTCAGTTAGCGGATTGTCTCACAAAACGTGGCGCATCCCCACTAGTTCTGATGAAAATTCTGGAAACTGGTATTATTCCGCAATAATACACTTGTGACGAGACGTGAATGAACATTTTGCAATCAGTGACAATTTATTGCATTATGACCCTCAGACAACAATGTTTATAATAGCATCCTTATAATAACTACCTTAATTGCCTTAAAAATAACTACCTTAATTGCCTTACTTATATAATCATCTTACACCCTGTACAGACTGCAAAATTTGATCCTACATCAGACTGGTTCGGGCCAGGCGCACACTAAATCGCAGCGTACAGACAACCCAGCTCAACTTGGATAAGTTGGCATGGGTTGGCTGCGCATGCTCAGTTAAGCTTGTTACATGACTCAGCAGACATTGATATAGGATTGAATAGACAGCAGAAGGAAGCTGCAACCAGCAGATAATCGAATCTATGTATCTGATTATAATTCAACTGAGCCATTCTATCAGCAATGGAAGTGTAAACGTGCACATTCCTATGTCTGCCTTTCCATACATGCTGGATAGATTCTTCTGGCCAATTTATAATTAGATTATAGTGAAGTGAAGTTCAAAAACAAAATTGCAGGCAATGAATTTCACATGCTACTGTACTTTTATGTGACCAAAACAAGGCTATGCGCATGCGTTTGTCGAAATTGAGCCCGCATGTGGCCCCAGATTGCGTACACACAATTTAGTGCGGGCTAACATAGTACAGCTCATAGGGTCTATGTCCCCCAGGGTAGTGCCGGAACGTACCCTGGTAACTATTTGATATGGTTAGGGTTAGGGTTAAGGATACCGATAGGGTTAGGTAGTAGGCGTAGGCGACTCCCTAGACTCGTTAGTTAAGTGGAGTAGGCGAGGTACGGTCTGGCATATTAGATAGTACCAGGGTACGTTCCGGCAGTACCCTGGGAGACATAGACCCTCTCAGCCATAGTACAGGATAATTTAGCACACTTCGAAGCAGGCATGGCCTGCATCCATTCATGGGGCTAAGTTAGTCTGGACTAGCAAGTACTTGGCGAGCGATAGCGTTTACATACTGTTAAAATTTAGCACGTACCTGGCCCTGACTAGTTTGATGTAGGATCTGATTTGCAGTCTGTATGGCATATTATTTGCTGTGTATTACGATTTAAACATTTTGATAGCAGTGTTGTGTTTGACTTTTTTCTAATTGTCATGTAAGTATATATATATATTATGTAACAGAAATTATCTCCTAATATCAAATCATTGAGTCAAATCAAATGAGCATTATATTCTGCATATATGCATTGGTTTTGACTCAGTGTGCCTTGACTCATATATAATATACTTAAAAGAATTTTTGTGATGGGTATTGCTTGTACTACCATAGTTAACATGTGGTTCTATTTTTTTCAGAGAACAACTTTTATATCCTATTCAAGGTATTTTCCTTTATCTAAATATCATGGCTGGCGACCACATCCTCGAACATACCGACAGTTTTATGGCTATGCAGAAATAGTTTCTGGGGCAATACTGGTTCTTTTTCCTGCCAAAGGTATGTGTTTCTCACAAGATCATTTTTGTTCGTTAATTACCATGTATCCACTAGCATGCTTGGAACCAAATTCTATTACCTATAATCTCATGTGATAGTGAACCTTTGTATAGAGATTTATATGCACATACATATCCCAGGCGCAAGTATTTTTTGTGTACCATTTTTTCCTCTTCCTATGTGTGCGTGCGACCCGTTCGTGCATGTGTCCGTGTGCGTGTGTGTGAGTGTACATGTCGATGTGTCTGGAACGGGTATATTTTATAGTGTCGATCTTTTCTGATTGATGTGTATAACTTGTCTTTTAAAGGGGTTTTAAGATTTGCAAAATTGGCTGCCAATGTTGTTCTGACGATACTGATGTCCACAACCTTGACCAGCCACTATCTAAGGGGAGATGGATTTGAAACCATGTCCGGCCAACTAGTCATGTCATTGCTCCTCCTCTGCCGACTAATAGTTTTTTACCAGGTGAGTAATGAGTGTACAAATTAATAGAAATGTCTAATAAACCTGTACGTTTCTTAAAAGGAAATTTGATAAATGTACTTGTGAATTCAGAGTAAAACTGTGGACATACCACTGATCCACTCAGTGATGTGTATAGTCTCACTTAAATAAGTTGCTGTTTTTTTACTCTGAGCACATTTCTTGCCATTGCCTGCACTAGGTGACAGCAAGAGAAAACAAAGAGGCACTTTACTCCAAGAAACGAGAAGAGATGCTGAGGCAGGCATTGGATGCTGCTGAAAAAGTCTCCCAATCTAAGAAGGATGAGTGAGCAATGGTATAAAATCATCTCAGCTAACCTTGCAGTTTTCTTTGCGAAAAGAATTTCACTGGTTATCACATTCGCACGTGCATGTCCAGTGATGATGCATACTTTTAGAATGGTAATTCTAGACAGTCCCTCAGTTCTCTTCAGTGGTTATAACAACATTGTTTTGCCACTCTTAACTAGTGACAGATAGAAAGGGTTATTTATAGAGGATAAGATGAGAAGGAGAGTTCATAGTGGGAAATGGTTTCTTGTAGAGAGTTGGAGGTGGAAGTGGTAAAGGACTAAATACGTACTTATTTAAGAGAAAACAGTGTACTGGTGAGTTTTGTAATGAGTCAGGTATCAAGTGATTACTCTCTTCACACATGAATGCTATATCCACTGCCAAACATAGCAAGCTAGTCACAATAGAGGTATTAATTGCATTTAGCTCTCAGTCTCAGTTGAGTTATTAAAGGCTCACTCTAAGTTTTCTGATTACACTGATTAAATTTTATCATATTCTTATGGAAATATGCAATTAAATTGATCCTTTGCAAATTGTCAAGATCTAAGTAATTTATTGGTAGCCAGTGTACAGCACGTTGCATTTAATATTGAGCTTGAGTTTCTGAACTACTTGAAAAATTTAGCTAAAAAATGGCTGGCAGCAAAAGTTAATCTCATCTTTTTATTTCTTATTATTACATCTTGGATCTCAATTGAAAAAAAGTATTCAGGTTGCTGCCCTCGCATTTTTTAATGTAATCAGGTTTTTCGTAATCTTTTGCCTTGCGACAGGCCACATACTGAGCTGTCTAGTTCATATTCTGCATGCCACAACATAGTAATTTAGGCTGCAGGATTAATTACTGAAAAGTAGTCTAACACTACATGGATTCCATTTCCTTTATGAAACACTCCTCATATCACTCGTCCCAGTTTACTCAGCTAAAAACATGAACACTCGCAGTTTGCTGTTGCAGTAATGGGATAACCAACTAGTTGCAATGAGCTATAAATAATTGTATTTATTTGAGCCAAGGCTTGTTCTGCTTGGTTATATGCAAGAGCATCACGGTCATTGATTACATGGTGAGAGAATATTCATTCCTAGCTGTGTAAAATACTGTGTTTGTTCGCCACATGACGTGACTGTGTTGTCTAGTTGATCCCTGAGAGGACGAAGCACTCTGTGGGGTTGCTAACTATATTGAGATTTCATAACTCGCTAGTCAAATTAAATGTAAATACACCCGGTCATCGTAACCGCGTGCTTCTGTATGTTAAAGTAAAACATGAATAACTAGGTTCATGTCAATGCCTGCTAAAATGTACGTTTCACCCGCTCAGCGTGCTTGCATTGTTACTGCGTGTAGAGCTGTGATTCTTTGTTGTTCCCATCATTTATCTATGGATGGCTGATTGTCACTTTGCCTTTTTGGTGCCATCTTATCTCTCAGTAGGATCAGACTGTGGCACTCAAAGATAAACAGCCTGACATAAAAAAAACTCACAGGAGGTGGTTTGCTGCTTATTTTATATATGCGTGGAAACAGGAGTACACAGTTGCTGTCATAAGTGCACAGTTCGTTGATGATCACCCACGATAATTTTTGATAGACCGTAAGGAATAGCGGTCTTTACAGGCATGCCTTGTAACAAAAAGAGATGGCTTGGAAATTGGATGTTGATCTCATTTGTGTTATTTTTTATTAAAATATACCGAGTCTCCAGATTTCAACAGCATTGTGTTAAGTTTAAATGTGGGTTGTTTGTGCTGCATACCAATTTTTAATGTTTAATGTCAATGGGAAATTTGAATGTGTCTTGCCAGTATTTGCCAGTAGGCCTACTGCACGTGCTTGCCAGTACTGCACGAAATTGCCAGTACTGCACGAAATTGCCAGTATTATTTGTTATGGGTGACACCATTGTATGTACTTGCTTCTGGTGGCATAGGTGAAAGTTTCCTTTTTGAATTATTTCACCATGTTTTATAGGCACCTATTTATTAGATTCTAGTTGTCATTGAACAACGAAAATTGGTGTATAGCATGATTAAAACCTGTATTAATGTAATATAATGTTGAAAAATATGTTAGCGGCCTCCTTTGACTGGTATCTAGCAGGAGTGTTGCATAGTGTAATTTATAAGCATTTGGCAATAATTGGACTTATAAAAGGTAAATGAATTTAGAGTTTGTAGTCAAACTGAAGTAGCAGCCCATGCATGTAAAGAAAACGGTGTTTGAAGCTAAATGTTCGTTGAAGAACATTCCAAGCAAGTTGTATTTAACCACTAGTGAAGCATTTCCCCAGTTACTACTGCAGTTTTCTTTTTTCATTATGTATACTTCAAACTACAAATCATTCACTGCTTTAATTTCATAGAAAAGCTATAAGATAACGTAAATCTCTATTTCCTTTTTGACAATAAATGTATTTTTGTTAGTTTTCTTGAAACTTACAAAAATACTCATATAATGATAAGGATCTTCTACATCTCATCAGAGGTGAGTCAATTCTGTGTAAGGTATGTTTCGTACTTATAAGTTTTGGATTTTTTTTTACTATTTAGTACTACGGAATATAATTAAAGTAGACGCTTTGTTTGCATGATAACCTGAGACCATATAGAGACCATGATAGTTACATTATTAATTATATTGATCTTTATGTTATGTCAATATACAGTAACAATTTACCTATTACATAATAACATTAGTAGGCTCATGTAGAAGCGATAGCAGTAGACATTACAACAGTTGGTAAAGAACTATCTCATAATCTGTTACTTTGATTAGTATCCGAGTATTAGGTTTAAATGAGTATTTTGTGGTATCGATGTTGTATACAAATGCCTTTGCATGTAGGGGATTCCTTATTTAAACTAGAATTGTTTAATTACTTCATGTAAATGTTAGTGCCTAGAAAAGCTAGGCAAGCTACATACAATTAACTCGCGGGAATATTGAAATATTGATATGATTGAGTGGAGTTGCTGAATACCAAAGAAATTTCATCACAAAATAAGTTTTATTTAATAGTATACAGTTGGGGTTTATTTACTGCAAGTTAAGCAAGGACACGCGCACACACACATGCACGTGCGCACACTAGGACTGATATGTGTATGTTGCACCGAGTCGGCCGATGTCAAAGATACCAAGTCATGTCAGTCTCTAAATGTTCTACTACATGGGATAAAAAACACATGCTATATCTGGTTTACTCATGTAACTCACGAGCTTTGCACAAAACTGATTGTACGAACCAGCCTAATTCACTTGAATGTACTTGTCATGGATGCTGTTGATTTGTTTTTGAAAAAAACCTCAAATTCTCTCAAACCAAAAAATGCTCATTGATGCAACTATGGGAGCATTGCATAAAAATTCCGTATAAAATATCTGGAAATAATTGTAATCGGTGGTGTAATTGTACTGTATTTGTTGTCAAATCGGTACACACTGTGAGAGTTTCAAGTGTGTGCAGTCGAGACAGATTAGAAAATACAGGTGGAGCTAAAAATTAACCTGCCTTATGTGAGTTGCCAATCCTCATGTTGTTTACTTATAATAATTGCCGGTAATTGTACATGAGGGTGGACGTGTTAATGTGCGATTGCTAATGCAGTTGAAATCTGCCTCTCTCTGCATCGTTCAGCGAGCATACATTGTTACTGTTTTCATGCAAACTGCTTAGAGGTGTGCAGAATACATGCAGGTAGTTTCTTGCTGTGTGACACAGAGTGCAGTATGTTGTGCAATAACAATAATAGGAGGGCCAGGCCCCCCTTCGTAAATCACTTCCTTCGCCTTCAACTCCGATTTAAATTTAAAGTAAATTTGTTACCGACTAATTTCTTGAATACGAATAGAATGTGTAGAGCAAATGTCAAATCAACTTCCTTGCATACCTATCAATCCAAGAAATCCAGTGTCAGGTCACTGCAAATAAGAAATCGTATGATTGCTATTGGTGTACTTTGGGGTGTCTTTAACCTTCAGCAACGTGTGTGCGCATGCGACTTCAACTAGGAATGTTAATAATAGGGTGTGTCCACGTAGAATTTGGATTTATCTTGTTATTCTGTATATCGTGACTCTTTTTACCGATAAATTTGGTGTACATGTATCCCATTGTAATTTATAGTCGTGTGTTGTGGTATGTTCAATACACGTGAGATTTTTTCTCAAAATAATTGACTTTGTCATAAACATTTGCTTTGTTGTTATATTTATCAAATTATGACAGCCCAGTACTGGTAAATATTGTACCAAACCTAAGGAGCAAAGCACACAAAAATCCATTTGATATTTAAAATTTTACATTATTTCCATAATTATATAGGTTTACAAAAATGCCCTGCAGTAACAAAATATGACATGTCCCCAAACTTTCAGTATTACATTGAGAAACTTATAATTTGATGTAATCACTATTACCTACACATGTATACATCTTCCAGACAGTAGGTTCTGTGCATGAAAAGTCATTACAGTTCCTTATTTGACAAGTTTTTTTTAAAAGAATTACTAGGCCTACACCTTGAATGTCTGCAAACTTCCTTATTCTCTCAACAAAATGTATTAGGCATAGAAACTTTGAGCATGGTTGTCTATCAATAAAATAATGAAATCTGTGCAACAAACCAGGAATGTGTAGCAAAATGGAATTTTAAGAACCTTGACACAAAACGGACTTACATACTGAAGAAATGCAGAGGATAGCAACATGCATACAGAAGTGTGAAATATATCTTCACACAAAATGTCACTGTAGCTATTCATTAGATGCATAAGTAACATATATAACACGATTTTAACTCGTCTAACAATATTAAGTGAATAAAATAAAAATGAATTATAGCTGCTTTTATCATAAAATTATGATAGTTTTTAAAACGAAGGCAGATTAGACAACCTGTCTATTGCAGTTTGCTGTTTGTCATAACTAGTTCTCACAGCACACTCACGTATGTTGGAGTGACACATTCGAACCCTGCAGTACTCGCCGATGAGGACTGATTTTCCGAAGAAATGCTTGGCAAGTGAGACGAGTTAAAATATATTTTCCTTAACATAGCTGAGTTTACATGCAACTTGTTAACTGATAATTAATAGTGAACAATAAAAACTGATATGTACCATGTAGGATAATCTTAACTTTCCTAAACTGGAAATAATATAAGCTGGAAATGGAAGAGTTTCAATTGTTAATAAAGAAAAACTGAGGAATTAAACAATTTATGTACAATGCTTAAACTAATTAAATTGATTAATATAGATATAGTTGTGTATATATATAAATATATATATAAATGCAATTATAACGATGCACATTTTCAGAGGACAAAATTGTCTTATAATTATATTATTTATGAATAGGCGTCAAACCATTCTGCTTTTTTTGCTATAGTTATTTTTACTCGATTCTCAAATCTTTATTTTTTTTTAAACACATTGGTACCGTCAGTGTTCTGGACATTGTCACCTTTACTCAGAGTTGGACTTTTGAAGTATACATAATAACTTTCCCTTGCAACCGAATGCATCAAATTTTGTTGTTTGAGGATCAATAGCACGTTACTAACAGGACTGTTACAGGACTTACAGTTAGAGGAGAGAGAAAGAACCAATCGATGATTTCATTGATGAGTTTCACAATGAAATATAATCACAATAAAGACAATGAGGTAAATTAATCCTAAACCCACATCAATATATGAGGCATGAAAATGAGATCAAACAGCATTTCACGAGGAATGGCTATTTCTATTACTTTCCAATGCCTAAAGCTTGGTTTACACTGCCAACCTTGAGTTGGCGAATTGCCGAATTGCCAAATTAGAACATGCTAATCTCCCAACTAGCTGCTATCGATCGGTTAGACGTGCAACTTTTGCGTTTACACTGCCGATTGTCGGTTGCGAAATTGCGAAGTTGGTACAATTCGGCAATTCGCCAACACAAAGTTGGCAGTGTAAACCCAGCTTAATATTCACAACCATAAAAAGAGAAGATTTGCAGAGTTCTTTACAGAAGGGTTGTTGGTTCTCATATAAGCTTCAATAGAACCAACCCCCTTACCTTTTTACCTTACCATTACCTTGCCAATTGGTCAATAAAAAATTTACTATCAGTTGCCATTAGAAATCTTACTAGATGTCAAGTGCATTCATTCGCTGCATTCAACTTCTTTATATGATCTTGGCATCTCACTCCTCAAAACAGTTGGAATGCATGATTACTAGATGTCAAGTGCATTCATGCGCTGCATTCAACTTCTTTATATGATCTTGGCATCTCACTCCTCAAAACAGTTGGAATGCACGATTCCAAATGATCAAACATGGCAAGGTTTGTCTAGGTTACCTCCCCATGTGAACATCTAGACTCTACGACCAGGCAGGATGCCAGTTCTAGAGGTAATCTGGGGGCGGCGCCTGCAGTAGTCTGAGAAGCTCCGCATAGCGTACTTGACCATTGGACTGAATGTTTGCCTCGTTCATGATGCTCGTTACTAAAAGCAGAGTGAATCAACATTACGATACATACGACAGGAAAAAAGCAACCACAGATCGACTACATCTTTGTAAGGAGAAATGAGAAGATTATGTTAAAGGACTGTAAGTGTAAGGTAATCCCGAGAGAAGCATGTTTAACACAACATAGGCTTATGTGTAGTGATCTCAAGATAGCAGGATTCAAGAGAATTAAAAAGAAGAAAGGAGAAAAGAAGATAAAACAATGGAAACTAAAGGAGGAAACTCACAGGAGAGACTTTGAAGAGAATGTGAGAAGGAGAATGGAGAGTAGCAGAGGAGGATGGGAGAAACTTAGAGATAGTATCATGAAGGCTGGTAGAGAAGTATGTGGGGAGACAACAGGGAACTATAGACATAGAAGAGAAACTTGGTGGTGGAATGAAACAGTGCAAAAAGCAATAAGAGAAAAGAAAGAAGCTTACAAGGTATGGCAAAGAAGTGGAGAAGAAGTTGACAGAGAAGTGTACAAGCAGAAGAAAAGGAACGCAAAAAGAGAGGTAGCAATTGCGAAAAGATCAGTATGGGAAGAATGGACGGAAATTTCAGGAAAATCAAAACAGAAATCAGATCTATTCAGAATAGCAAAGCAGATGAAAAGGGAGAGACAGGATGTCACAGGAGGAAAATATATAAAAGATAGCAGAGGAGATATAAAAGTGGAAGAAAAGGAAATCATGGACAGATGGAGGGAGTACTTCAGTGAGCCACTAGATGAGCAGAACGAATATCAGGTGGAAGAAACAGAAATGGTTGAGGGACCGTTGGAGGACGTTACAGAGGATGAACTGGAAGTAGCTTTGAAAGAAATGAGTAGTGGGAAGGCGGCAGGGCCAACAGGGGTGACAAGTGACCTGGTAAAGGCGGCAGGTAGGGAAGGAATAAGAGAACTGGGAAGCATCGTGAAGGAACTGATAGGAGGGAACGGAATACCAGAAGATTGGAAAAAGAGTTCTACAATACCTATATATAAAGGCAAAGGAGATGCTACGGTATGCAGCAAACACAGAGGAGTGAGGTTATTAGAACATGCAATGAAAATATACGAAAGAGTTTTAGAGAAGAGACTTAGAAAGGAAGTAGACATCGGTAGTTTTCAGTTCGGGTTTTGCCCAGGTAGGTCCACTACAGGGGCAATATTTGTTTTGAGACAACTGCAAGAGAAATATAACCAGAAGAAAAAGAAGCTGTACCACATTTTCGTGGATTTGGAGAAGGCATTTGTGTAGGCATCGAGTACCAAGAGAAGTGATAAGGTGGGCCTTAAAAAGGAAAAAAGTACCTGAAAGGATGATAACAGCGATTATGTCACTGTATGTGGGAACCAGATCAAGGATTAGAACGACAGCAGGAGGGACGTCAGAGGAGTTTGACATTGGAGTAGGGGTACATCAAGGCTCGGTATTAAGTCCCTTACTGTTCATCATAGTAATGGATGAGGCAACTAGAGAAAACAGAAAAGGGGTTCCATGGGAGTTAGCGTATGCAGATAACCTGGTATTGACGGCAGAATCTGAACAGGAAGCACTGGAAGCCTTTGAGAGTTGGAGAGAGGGGTTAGAAAGACGAGGAATAAAAGTAAACTTAGAGAAAACAAAGATGATGGTAACAGGAAAGGGCTCTGAGCACCATGTGCAGTCAGGAAGATGGCCATGTGGATGCTGTGGGAGAGGAGTGGGAGTAAATTCAGTTTTATGCATAGAGTGTAACAAATGGTGTCATCAAAGATGCACAGGCCTGAAAAGTGTAAAGGGAATCCAGAACTTTCGGTGCCCGGCTTGCAGAAGAGGGCATGTCAGGGAGGAAGGTGAAAGAGGACTGAGGACTACATAGAGGAAACATAGAAGAAGTTCATGAGTTTTGCTATCTGGATGATATGGTGGACTGTGAGGTGGGTACAGAGAGAACTGTGAGAGTTAGAGTAGCGGCTGCATGGAAGAAATGGAGAGAGATGGCTAGTTTGTTAGTAAACAGAAGTATTCCATTAAAGATCAGAGGCAATGTCTATAAAGCTTGTATAAGATCAGTTTTGTTATACGGGGTGGAAGTATGGGCTATGACAGAAAGAGTTGAAGATGTATTAAGAAAATGTGATAGAAAGATGCTAAGATACATAACTGGAGTTAAATAGCAGGATAGGATATCCAGTGAAGAAGTGGCAAAGAGATGTGGTTTAAGAGAGATACAGAATAGAACTAGACAGAGAAGACTACAATGGTTTGGGCATGTTAGAAGGGAGACGGAAGGAGGAGTACTAAGGTTTGTGGAAGAATTAGAGATCCCTGGAAAAAGACCGGTTGGAAGACCAAAGAGAACATGGATAAGGACAGTGCAGAAAGATCTGAAGGACTTGAATATAGATGAAGGATCAACGCAGGACAGAGAACGGTGGAGGAGGATCATCGCAAGTCCAACCCCAGGCACGGGAAAAGATGGACTATAAACGAAGACGATGATGATGATGATGATGTACACAGATATAATAAATGTAATAACAACATGTATAACTGTCAAACATCTGTGCAATGCAAAAAATGTTATGTAGTAGAGTGAATTTGTACATCATATACAACAGATGCACATAGCAACTGCATATATAAACAGAAAATATATTTACGTATATATATACATATGATATATATATATATATA